AAAAAAAAAAAAAAAAATTAAAAATCTGAAACAAATAATTTAGTGATTAGAAATATTTGAACTTTTAAAAATGAAGATGTGTTTAAGTCATAAAAGAACAAATAGAAAAAAGTAAAAGCACAGAATTTTCTTCACACCCAATTAAATAATAGTTCAAATTACTTTGTTACAAATATTACACGATACAATTTGTCTTTATAGAATCGAAAGCATAACAGTGTATATGCCATACCATAAACTTTTACGACAGGACAAAAAGATGAAGAAACTCTTGAACTAGTGAGAACTCCAGCTTGTCTCTCATACGCGAAAGGAACGTGAATGAATCGTGTGCATAGATATAAGTTTACGCTCCATTCAATTTAGCACGATAGTATTGGATACATCGTACAATATAAACATAAGTCGATCTCATAAAAGTAAAACGATAGGCCTTACAAACTATCGGCATTAAATTTTGTACAATAATTTAATATTTGTGACACGATTAATTTATTCAATTTTACTCTCTACATCACTCTCGTTGAATCATCATCCTCGTTTATTTCCATCGTTCCGCTTCAATACGTGTCGATTGACTAGCAACACGATACGATATAATGCAATTCATTTACGTAATTCCCTTTTCTGCTTAATACGGCAGCCATATCGTAAAATATACAACTTTTTTCGCCCTTTTTTTTTTTTTTTTTTTTTTTTAACCATAATACATGATACTCTATGTCTTTTTCTCTTCACTCTTCGCCGACTATCTACGACACTTGAAACCGACATTTACAACATATTTAATTACAATCGGACATTACTAGTTAGGGTTTCTTCAGTGCATTCGCAGATTTGATCGTTAAAAACACAGGGTTAACGATGTCAGCGAAACAAAATTCACTCATCGATCCCCTGTGTTTCCTGATTACTCGCTTTCACAGCGCCTGCAAACTTCTTACGTTGCTTAAAAAATAAGATCTGATATATCTGATGGTCTAGCTTATCGCTAGATTAATTTCTGAGTTACTCGAGTTCGATTCAGAGCATCTCGTCGGAGTACATTGGATAGGATATAAGCAGTTTCCCTCCCCCGCCCCCCATCCTCTTATACAGCACAAACATTAAGGACGTTTCGCGAACACGTTCCGATTTCTTCAATGCGTGTTACGTAATCTCTGGGAAGAAATTTCGCTAATTTATGAGCACGTTTTCGATAATCGAGACGATCGATAAGATTTTCGCGTTTGCGTGATCTGCACGTTCCAGACGACACACCATACCGATGACGAAATATTGAAGCCGAGTTTCAGTGTTACGATAATGTTAGATAACGCATTCGACGTACAAAGAAAGAACGTTCGATATAAATATCCACTCGTCCAAAGTGACGTATACATATCCGATATTATAGATATAGAAAGGAGCTAATTACAAATCAGACAAACGGTTCAACATCTGTGTACAAATATAGAATTTTCCACGAAGGAGAAGTATGATTTAAAAATTGATTTTCAACAACAATTGAGAATTAATAACTCGAAGTATTATACTTCTAAATTATACAAGTATAAAAGGAAGACATAAAATATAATTTAAATTATAATTTTTCTATTGTTATGACTTTTCTACTTTTTTCAAATATAATTCTGTACAAAAGATTACATTTTTTGGCAAATAGCGTAGAGATTCGATCAACAGTGAACGTGTTCATGTTCGATTTCGATGTGACACTGTCTTATCCGTGGTTTTAAGAATACTACGTGCGACAAAATTTGTGCGTGTACTTTGAGAGGTGTTCGACTTATTGTTAGATGCACACCGTTACTTACAGCTGGTTACTTTTATACGCATTGAACGCTTATGATCGTTTTCTCGAATTCACCTATGGTTTGCTGTCACTCGTATTCGATTGTTTGATTTCTCAGTCGAGGATCGACAATAAGAAACAGTTGAGACTTGAGACTTTTTGTTTATGTTCGAATAACAATATGTAGATCGCAATTCGATTTCACGTTAAAAATCATTTCCAAAATGCTGCGAAACGGCGATCCTTGTGAACACAGAAGGTGTCGAAATATTTTGATCATGTTAATATACGAACTATTTTGTAAGTCGGCTATGGCTTCATATTTCGGTCAAAAAGACGTTGTTAAGTGGCAGTACACTGGTAATATACAATTGAAATCAAGCGAAGCATAATTTTAAGTTCCATTAAATCGTGTAAATGCTTGTTTAAATGTTGTATATTCTTAAGTAACGGCTTTGTAGGTGAAAACAAATATTTAGATAACTATGGATACCTTGTTTGTTGATTTGCAGCTTCGCTTACAATTTCACACACAGTTTAAACATTTTTCAAGAACAGTATAGAATTCTATAAAAAGAATCAGATCACTTAGGAGAAAGACTTAGGAGAAATGAATCTCTTAAGAATAGCAGAAAATATAAAAAAAAGCCAAATAAAATATTAATTATTTTAAATCATTTTCATGTTAAATACTTTTTTGTCTACAACAAGAATATCTATTTGATAAATTGTCTAAAAGTTCTGTACGATACGTAAGTTAGCTATGAACAAAGTAAAATAAGTCACTTGTGTGAATATAAATTGTTGTTTCTGAGATTAAATTCCTTTACAAATTTCTTAATAGTCAAAGAAAGATATTTCTAGCTTTCGAGTTTCAACTTCCAATTTAAAATTTTTCAATGATTAATTAGTGTGTATATGAAGAATTATTTCATTATATAAAACACATTAACGCGCTTGTGTCTAAAAATGTTGGCTACATCAAAAGTACTTTTTTTAAATTAGCGTGTTATTACACACTCACTATTAACTATACCATATATTATACTTAAGAAGTATATTAAACAAGATTTTTTAATAATTTATAAGTTAGATAGTATTGGTTTCAAGTAAGAGTTCTGTAATCTAATTTTTTTTTTATATTCGAAAGCTATTTTTCATTAGGTTATAATTGAAAAAAAAAAAAAAAATGCTTCTTAAGGTTTCTTAGAATCGTAAATATTATTTTCAAAATCAGCTTCAATCGATCGTCCATATTTTTTTTATCTTACCACTTAACAATATCTATTGTTGTGCGTGAGAAAACGATGACGATCTTTTTAGAAATACCTTTCAGATCAAGTATAAAATGCATACATGTTTAAAGAAAAAGAATTTCTTAAAATATACCTACATATGTTCGCATCATGAATATTCATGAGCATTTTATTATATTAGATCGCTTTATAAAATACCATTTGCTTGATTACTCCTTCTCGGATTGATAACAATACATATTTTATTGGTTTATATTTTTATTGACCATTTTGTCTCAATAAATTAAGATACGTAATGACATTCTAAGA